AAAGAAACTTTAAAGTGATTGATTTTGGACTGAGATTGGTGTATCAAAAAAATTTGCAACATTAAAAATCATTAAATTTTATACATTTAAATAATATTGCTTTGAATAAATTCTTAAAAAAAACGATGCTGTTTAAATTGACTACTACTTGTGTGATCGATTCAATAAAGGAACAAAATTATTCATTTCACAATAAAAGCTATTTGTTTGTTGTTTTTTGATTTTAGTATTAATGCATGGTTTCTATTCATAACACAGTCAGAGCTCGTTAAACCAAAGTCAATATTTTCAAAAAAAAAAAACTTCAATTTAAAAAACCTTAATAAAATTGGCTTATTGAGGTAAATTTGATAGGTAGATAATAAAACAACATCGGTTTGTCATGTATATTTGGTTTATCAAAGCATTATCTTAACGAGTTCTGACTGTACGTTTTATTCGATTTATTCGATTTACTCGATTAATTCGTTTTGTTTTTACTCAAATTGTTTGTTTTATTCAAGTAAACCTTATTTGAATAGAAACCTAACTACTACTCAAGATTATGATATATAATAAGTCCACTATAAAGAGATTTATAGTGGAAATTCGTTATAGTGGACAAAAATGCCTGGAACCAAATTTCCACTATAACAAGCTTTGACTGTAGATATAATTATTGTTATTTCTAAAAACAATAAAACAATTTTTTTTTTATTTTAGAAATTTTTTTAACATAATAAAATACACAACTGTGTAATCAATTCTGTTAAACCAAAGAAACAGTAAATCCATCCCGTTAAACCAAATTTGTTAAACCTAAATAAACAGAATAACGGGTTGACTATGTGATTACTTTTTTGAAATAATCGAATTTCAATTAAGAAAACACGAAAATTTTGCATGCATATTCTACAAGACCTAGCCTACAAGCTATATATACTTATTATGTGTGTTTTTGCATTATTGATCCCCTGTAGTGTACCATTTGTTCTAATAAATCTATTTGAATCTATTAAAACAAATAAACAAATGGATAAATTTATTATTTATCAAAAAAAGAAATAAACTTTAAAGTATATAAATATGGACTGAGATTGATGTATCAAAATTTTTGCAACATTAAAAATCATTAAACTTTATATATTTAAAATAAATATTTGAATAAATTCTTTAAAAACAACGCTGTTTAAATTGACTAATGCTTGTGTGATCAATTCTATTTGTTTGTTTGTTTATTGTTGTTTTTTGATTTTAGTATTAATGCACGGTTTCTATTCATAATCCATTTTATTCGTTTTATTCGTTTCTTCGCTCTATTCGTTTTATTTGCTTATTCGTTTCATTCGAATTATTTTTTACTCAAATTATTTGTTTTATTCAAGCAAACCTTATTTGAATAGAAACCTAACTACTACTCAAAGATTATAATATTATTTTAGTACAAAGAGCTTTAGAAATAAATATTTAACCAATAACTTAATTACAATATAAAGAGTTATTGGTTTATTAAATTAAGCTAATAATTAACTAAAAAATAGGATTAATTTTAGAAGAATATCTGATAAATATTGGCACTTTCAACATTTACCAATAGGCTTTTAGACTATATGATAAAAATATTAAGAATATTATTAACTTATCAGTATGCTAATACTTTGATTATTTTTTTAAAGAATAATCAGATTCTGATATTTACTGATATATCCCATTACCCAATTTGGCATCATTTGGCCAGTAAAAAGAGAACCAATGGATTATATATATAAGCAAAGAAAGATTGGACCCTAAATCAGCACAAAAGAATTTTAAATCATGCACAGACATGATAGCTTGATTGACACAGTGGTGCAGTCTTGGATTCTATGCAATTTTTTTATTGTATATTTTAAATATAATTAATCATATGTCTTTAATAAAACAAACATGACTTAGCATTTAATCATTTTCTTGTATGTGAATGCCTCCATCCATCAAATATTCATGATGGTCATGATTATTATTCAATACATTTGATGTTATAATTGGCATAACAAACAATTGCATCACCCAGGTAGTAATAATACCAAGGTCATGCATAAACAAAACTTTTAATAATGCCTGTCTACCCAGATCTCTGGAGTTCACAAGAATAAATAAATAGGGAGGATCAAAAAAAAGATTATAGTTCCCATTGTATAAATAGTTCCTTAAAAATCACAAATAAATCTGATGTTGATCACAGGTGTCAGATTTAATTAAAACTTTCCTGTCACCAGCATGCAAGACTGCACAATTAAGCGCAATTCATCACTATGGAATTTTTTTTCTCACAGGTGAAACAGACTTAAACATCTTGGAAGGCTTTGGACAAAACTTTCCCCTCAGATCAGGCTTGACTGTTACCATATGGGCATTGATAATGATGAGGATCAGCATTTGTGTAATGATTGCTTTGTGTTATACCTCTCTCATTAAAATAAAGTTGTGTCTGCAACTCTGCAGCTGTCTTGTCAGTGGCATGCCTACTCACCAACAACCCTATCCCATTTAAATAACACGTTCAGTTGGTCAAACAAAAATTAAAGAAAAACAGAGTATTTATGGAAATGTTTAATTTTAAACAAAACATACCAAAATCCGAACCATTTTATGACTTTTTTCTTATTGGCCATATTGCTGGCAAAAAATGCATATAATCATGCAATAATTTTAACCTACAGGACTGATTGGGCAAAAACCCTTACTCAAAATTATAAATTGGTTATTATCAGAGAAACAATTTAGGAAAATGATTGTACAAACAAACACTATTTTACAACTTTCCTTCTAACATCAAAACCCAAATGCAATTTCAGAGTTACCAACCCTGCTCTGAATTGTAACCTCTTGTGCTTGAAATGAGTTGCAGATTCTCATCGCTTTGATGTTTATATAGCACTAAAATTCATCAACAGAATTGCGACTTGATCACAGAGCCATCCTTACCCTAAAGGTAGATCGTTGCAGGCGACTTTTCAGCCAGCATGGCAGCAGCCTTCTCTGGTCTGGGAAGATTAGTGAAAGTGTCATTGACAATTGGTGCAGTCATATCAAGAGATATGGTCAAGAGGGGAGTTAGGAAGAGAGTTATTCTTCAACCAAGTCAAAAACCAACCCTTTAAATACATTTTCAAGTAGTACAATTTAATTTATTAGACTATTTCAAAGGTTTATTGCATGGTTGCTTCCAACTTCATAAATTCGAACCATTTGTTATTGAAACAAATTGTTGGTAAAGTGATTGTTGACAAAATGAATCAAACCAACATTTAATTTTTACGTTATCAAATTCACCATTTTGATTGGTTGAACAACAATCGCATGGGTTAAAATTTTCAAACTGATTAACCGATGCCCATCAGAGACTATAAATTTAATAAAAGAAATTTTGATTGGAGAGGAGGAGGATGAAGTGGATAGCGAAGAGGATGAAGTGGGTGAGATGGAGACAGTAGAGGACAGTAGAGGAGATGATGGTGATGAGGAGGAGGATGAGGATGAGGTGCTAGAGGTGGTAATGGTAGAAGATGGTGATGGTGGTGATGAGGATGGTGGTGATGGTGGTGATGAGGGTGAGGTTGAGGGGGTTTAGATCACCCTGGGGAATTAGGGAGGAGGAGATTGTGATGCAACATTTAATTAGGAAGAGGATAAATTGTAAAAAGTTGAGGGAGAATGAGGGCTTATGAGGACAAACCAGGTGATGTGGTTGAAGGCAAGGGAGTTGAGGAGGAAGTTTAGGAGGGTTTTGTTTCCAAATACTTATTAAAAAAATTTTATTACTCTAGATATTTTGGTTTTCTGAAATTCCTTAATGGATACCTTATAAAATGAATCCCCTTCATTGCATTAAAGGTTGCTCACTAAAACCTCTTGGTGACTGCCAAAATTCTAATGAACAATTGGTGTGTACTGCATGTTAACTACTATTTGGTTTTATTTATATTTGGTAATTTGTGTCAATTATGAAAGTATTGAATTGAATTTCATGATTCCTGGACATACTAAATTTAAATGTGATGGTAATTTTGGCATGATTAAAAACTATGGAACAAGAGTAGATTGTCTGGATCATGTGGTTTCAATGGTAAAAAAGTCTAGTCCAGCTGGATTAAATAAAGCTTGTTGTACTAATATCATCTCTAAAATGCTATCAGAAGCTGAAATAGTCAACTTAAGAAAGCTTTGAAAGATGGCATTAAATACTCCTTAACTACCTGCTCCAAATGAGTTAATTGATCTTTTTTCTTCAACCTTGCATACTAAGCACATTCAGTTTCATAATTTACTTGCTTAGCATGTAAATTTTTTCCTCTTTGCTTCCACTTTGCATGCTTAGCATGAGAAGTTCAAAATCTTCCTTTCCACTTTGCATCCTTAGCACATAAAGTTTGCAGTTGCCCAGCTTGAAAATTACATACCTAGTCTTATATTCAGATATAATCTCATCATCTTCTGCTAACTGTTTGCACAATCCTTGATTTGTTCTGATAATTTCTTCCATGGTATTTACTATGGATTTACTATCACAAATTGTGATTGATTCAAAAGAAGAATTAAGAATAGTTCTCTGAATTATTTATTATAAGCCTGGTGGGTTATATAAATCTTTTGATAAATTAGCTATGGCATCTAGAAAAGCTGGATATAATTTCAAAATATTCCAATATTTTCAGATGGTTATTTTTGCAGGCATTGTATCAAATATATTCAACAAGGCCTGGTTATATCCCTTGACCCTCTTACAACAATGTGAGGTACCCTAATGCATTACACTTTGCTGATATAGTTTATATGCCTTGGAGTAAGATTAAAGGGAAAGTATATACCTAGCTGGACTTTGTCAGAATTTAATATTGATTAAATAATTGTTGAGGATGAAAAGCCAGCTTTATATTAAAAAAAGAGCCTGGCTCTGATGCCCAGCCTCCTAAAAGATCCTTTGTTAGAGAAGAATTATTTGTGGTCCCTCCTGGTACTGAAATGCCTCCCCACTTCATCTAAGATAATAATAAATCCATGTATTCTGCTAATCCCGCCTCTTGTTTCTTAATATATGATTCTTGGATCTTGTAATGTCCATATGCATAACTATTGATACCATCATCTAATATCCATTTTTTTGTATCAAGAGGGCATAATACCTTCTTAGTTGGACTTGGTTAAATAAATCTTATGATTTTCCACACGCAATCCATATATGTTGTCTGTATGGGTAACTTTTTTATTGAATAGGCAATCCCTATAATTATCTCTTTTTCTACTATATTCTTTGATACTCCCTTATGACTTTTCCATTATCGATTTCAAATGCTCTGAGGCCTATAAATTCCTGCATTGGAGTTCCAGAACATTCATCTTTAAACTTACCTATTACAGCTTTATTCTCTGTATTATATAATGGATGTTCTTTGGGACAGTTGCTGAAATCAAATAATTCTGCATTCTTAGACATATTGACATATATATCCTCAGTCTCTACCTCATATGTAAGGGAATCAGTATCTGTATAAAGAAGGTTGGCTTTTTCTCCATATTCAGCCTTGATATAATCATACCAATATTGATACATCCAGAGCTTACTAAGATCCAATACAGCTTATCCAATGTACAGTCTCTGGCGAAAGTAATGGCGGTGATAATTTTTTTAAAAACTAAAAATTTTTAATAAGCAACTATCAATAAA